TTCATCGCCTGCCACATCGGCACTCCACGCAAGGCGCCTTTCTTGCCTCCTACATCGGACCACACAAAGAGATCGAACACAAACTGCACCAATTCGTGGTCGCCTGCGTAGTCAGCAATAGGGCCCATGGCTTTTGCGAGGAAAGATCGCCTGAGGCTCTGCCGCGTGGCGTTCTGCACTTCGTCCTCTTCAGCGTCGGAGTCTCCTGCATCATTTGTTCCTGTGCAAGCCGCCTGTGCTCGGCTTTGGCGGCGAACGTCTGCGAGTCTCGCAGAGGTCTCGCAGAGCCGCCGGTCCCAATACAGATGGGGCCACAAACAGCACTCTATGGCATCCTCCTCGATGAAGCGCAAAGGGCGTTTCCGTCTATCCCCGTCCGCCCACGGATGTTCACGCAGGAACCGACGATGACGTAGGACAAAAGTACGATAACTCGAGTCGTCGCTGGCCATGAGGAAGTTAAATGCCTTTCAGCATGCACGCAGCAATCTCTAACAGCCAACATGCAGGCCTGCACCGATTCACACGATCCTGCCTTCTTGGCTTTCTTCCGTCCGTTGTTGTCCAATGTGTGGATCTTCTCGAGGACGTCCATTTCAGACCAAGAGAGGCGGATCATGGCACTGTGGAAATAGTAGCCGTAGTCCGCTTTCCACTCCGGCCCGCAATCGATATCCAGGGGACGCAGGGCAAGCAGCATCGGGCGAGACAGCCCCCGCAACGGACCTGGCACCTCCTCGACTGAGGGCACCCAGATTTGCGCGGCCTCCGGCTTGCTGCAATTCTTGCACTTGGCCAAGGCCGTGGGGGCCTTGTCACGGAGATCTGCTTCCTTGAGGTGCTGCGGCTGCACGCTTCCGCACAGGGCGCAAACCTTCCATGAATGCTGCTTGCACCAAGTCTCCAAACGCTCGGCGGTCGGAGCAACACTGGCTCTTGGTAGGCCGGTGTCGTTGAAGGCGAGGTCGTGGATCTGCCTCTGCAAGTCCGGAGACATGGGATTTCGCCACCGGTAGTTTGCGTGCCTGATCAGGCGATCTCTTTGTGGAAAGAACTTGCGCTGAACATAGGCTCGGTCTTCCTCCACCTTGGCCCGATACTGCTGCGACTGTGCCGCGTCCAGCTCCGCAGCCACGGACTGCCGCCAGCTGAGGGCTTCTTCCTG